TGGGAAGTCTGGTTTTATTCACTCAGTTTGGTTTTACATCTGTGAAAGTTAAAAAAAAACCCAAAGGTTTATTCTCGGACACCTTCCGTTCTTGGTTTTTTTTAGGACATGAATGTGCGAATACAACCACATGGACACGGTTTGTATGTTCTTTGTACGTGAATTATCACGTTGAATTGGACAGCTGACATTGGACAATCAGTTTATTTGATCCTAGATCCTTCAAAGCTATTGTCGCACTTGTTACTAAGGCAAGAAGTCTGTAACCTGTTCAGCAGTAGGCTTATTCAATGTAAACTAGATTAGATTAGATTAGATTAGATTGATATAAACTCAGAAAATCATGTGCATGATTGCATTATTACTAAACTGAGATCAGGTCATTTCTAGTGCTAGCCTTTGCTTTAATAAAAAAAAAACAAAGTGCTATAGTCTGAAGCAAACCTGCCCACAATTTGAATAAGCAGCTTAAAGCTGGTTGACAGACATAAAGCCTATTGATAGACATTTTTAATTAAATTGTTAGCATGGGGATGTGAGATACATACCATATTCCCATTGCCATCCACACTATAATTGTAGGATGACTGGATTTCTTGGTTTATTTTCAAAATAGAAACTGAACTATGCCTACTTAAAAACACAGTTTCTTTAGACGAGAAAAAATAACCAAACAAACACGTGGCTCCAATTTCATTCATTTGAAACAGCAAATTGAGTTATGATTACGTGAGTCGTGAAATCTTGCACAAGAATTACGATTTCATGATTCATGATTTCGCATCCACGAACCACATTAAACTAAACTGTGCATGGCTTACTACACTGTGTGCAAGTAATTAAAGAAAATTTATAACGGCCTCTCCAGGCTTCCATACCATTGGCATTAGCCAAATGTTGATGTTGACTTGCTGATCCAGGGTTCGAATCTCAATATATCTGCCCTTTCCAGGCAAAATGGCAGCATGCAGGTGTCTTAGACAACTCAATCCGGCTAAACAAAGTTCACAGGTATGTTTGAAGGACTGATTTTGCTGGATTGGCATTATTGCGATTAGTAAATCTGGTGTACGTCATCTTATTTTTGATCTGTTGAGCGAGATACAAAGAACGGGGTCCTAATTTTCGTGTTCATAATGTAAAAAAAATAAATCACAAGATTACAGTAGTGCATCTGGTCTTTTAGGTAACGCTCAGGATACTGCGTAAGCCGCATCTTTGCTTGATAGCTAACATAAGCTAGCTAGTTACCTACCATATATATACTGTATATACTCTAGATTTTGTGACCATCGGCACAGATGATAATATATAAATTGGGTTTGGTTTAAATAAATATATTCTCAACAGGCGTTAGATGGTTAGATGTGCTGCTGCAATATCTAATCAAATCAGCTCCTATCATTCTTTTTTAAAAACCAATTTTATGCCAGTGACGTGGCACAGTGACATTTTAGCAATGACATACATTTTGATATTTCACGTCAATACTGTACAGGAAGAAATAACTGTCTGGCTGACATAACTTACAGCTAACATATTTCTTGCGCACATTTGTGGGTGTGACACTTTAGCACATAGTATTTATCAGCACACAATGACTGATCAATAAATTTGGATCAAATAGTCCTATTCCACATATCAGTGGATGTTCTCTTGGACCCAGGACAGCCGCCCGATTGTCTCTTTTGTGACAGCGAGCATTTCTACCAGTTCATTCCTCATTTCTGAAATGGCATTACATTTGGTGAGTCTCCTTAAACACCCAGGACTCATCAGAGGGTCCAGACACTTTTATAGCTACACACCTTTCCTATTAATTTCACCGTAGTTAATAAAAACCTCACTGTATTTAGTAAATAATATGCTTTAATATTAATAACTGAAGAATACTCTGAGTGTTTTTTAAAAGGGTAATTGGTTTTATTTGACATTATATTGGTTCAGTTAATTATATGATGTTCAGTGTGTAAAAAGCATCAATTATTTGATTCACATTTACTCTCTGCAACTTTTTTTTTTTTTTGATGGACTGGTGTGGCATTCAGGGTGCATTTCTGCAAGCTAAAACCTGTAGACATATTGACATTTCACAGCTCAACATCAAACGTGCTCAAACACGAACACGTAAGCCAGGAGTGAGCTACACTAGCTATATTTGGTAGCGATGACCTGTTGTGTTAAATATATCTATGCTCTGCTACAAACTATAGGTAACATTAAGGATAATGTGTAAAGAATGTCTTTGCTAGATAGCTAATGATGCAGCTAGAAACATGTATGAATTAACATGAGCTAGCTAGCTAGATAACTAACCAACCTACAGCAACTTGGCAAGTTAGTTAGCCAGCTGATTTGTTATATTTCTCTATATACTGTTGATAATGGATAGGGTGTTCACTTAGCTAATACAATTGTTCAAAAATCCCTCAGATATAGAACATTTTCGGATTAGTTGTGTCAATTGTAGACATAAAAAAAAAAGTAATTACTCAAGTAGTTTTTCAGCAGACAACTACCTCTAACCTTACCTCTAAATTTGTTCTGATTTCACTCCTGTATTTAGTTAGTCATGGGGTAAAATGGCCTATTATATTGAAGTGGGGCAACATAAATAGTATACGTGGGCAAAATGGGTTTTACGGAATGAAAGAGCAATTACTTTAAGTCAGGAAAATGCTGTTTTTACTATTTTGGGTACATTTATGACCATAAAAATAGCAACTAGATAAGAACAAGCAGAACAAAACCAAAAATAATTGGCTTACGCCTAATGGAATTAGGAACGGAAATATATCTCATATGTCTTATCGCTGCTAGGTTACAGGACCATTAGCGAACATCAACTTCACAGATACTGATAAATAGAATCTCTGCATGTGTCGTTTTGAAGATTTAGCATTTGAAATGGCTTGCAGCATTCAGGCACACATTGCATGCTAAAATAAATGATATTTTAATAATAGTGAGTTGCTGATAATAATGGTAAAATAAATAAACATAGCAAAGAACATCGTGTGCCACTCTGCTGTGGCCTTGTCTTGTCTGGTTTTTATAAACCACCAACTAGGACATTTTGAGGCGAAAATTAATATGGGATTTTGTTTACAAATGTGGAAAATGTTGCAACATGCTGTAAAAGCAGACTGAACCAAATGAATAAATAAATAGGAATGCACCAGAATACATCAGTGCTTCTGCAAGAAAATATTACCACCCTGAAGTTCATTATTTTCCTATAATACACAGCATCCTGAAGTGGTTTATTTTATGTATACCACAGCAATTTGCCAACATTTACAACTAAAGAACTAATTTCACATTTTTATCCATTTTATAGTTACATTTAATGTTGTGGAATGTCTGCAAAGCAAGTTAATTCCTGTCATTTCTTTGTTTTCTTACTTTGTTTTCTTGTCTTAAAAGTTGTAAGGTTACCCCTGACACTGGCGACTCCTTCTAAAAATGTTAAATAAACATCTACTTACAGAAATCTTCATCATATCAACAGTTCCACATGTGTTTTTCCTGTGCAAGTTGTTACTATAGGAATGTCAATGTGTTTGAAAATTAATCAACACCTTCTGACCAATCAGAATCGAGTATTCAAGAGCGCTGCGTTAGAAAGGCTTTTTTTAAAAAAAAAAAAAGCATTCAGGTAGTGTGATCAGTTTTGTGTTACTGCTGTAACAAAGAAACCTGAATTGTGATGTGTAATGTGTAGTACGTTGTAGTTCTGCTTCAGAAACCTGACGCTTATCTGAGTCACAGTAATGCCAGAATAATCAGCCGTTAAATGTCTCAAGGATGAATATTTTATTAATCACCAGCACACACGCTGACTGACTCGCCCATGGCTCTGTGTGACGCTGAAACAAACTTGGATCAGCAGCGAAGTTGAATTCCACTAACCAGTCTGAGCAGATGAGAGTTCGTCTCTCTCGGCCATGTGATCCTCTGAATCCCACTTCTTCTGGGAGGTTTTAAAAGATCAAGTGAAAAGAAAACTATATAGGAGGAGAAAAATCTCTAACAGTGCTGCGGCAGTTGGTTCCGAAGGGTGCTGTAAGCTGTTGGCTTCTGTCACTCAAGTGTAATTGCTTAACGTGAAGTATGTGTGTGTGTGTGGGGGGGGGAGGTGGGTGTGGAAGCAGCATGAGTCTAGGATGAAAGGAGGTGGTGTGTCATGTTTGTGCGCTACTCTAGCCTCATGTCACACAACACTGTGCACTGCCAGTATGATGAATGGAACCTCAGTGCCCACTCTGTTCAGTGTCTGCATGTGAATGTGCATTTCTTCAGTAAGGAACAACTGAAAGGAAGGAAAATCAATTAAGTTCCGAAACAATTAAGAGGTTTCCTGATGAATTTGAGAGAAAATTGCCGCCATAGCACTTTACTTAAAAAAAAAAAAAAAATCAATGTAAGGCTGCCACTTTGTTCATCTATGATTGATAACACAATTTTACACAATTTTACTATTTTCTGCTGTGAGTCACACTGACAATCCTGTGATAGTAATTCCCAGGCAGTGCTGTGTAAGCGGTGTAGTCAGAATTGGTGGGAATTTTGTATGTATATATAAATGTCATAGGTCAACTTGGATTTGCCATCAACTTTAGGCATGAAAGAAGTCTGGGTACATGGTGACAGGCATGAGTGTTTCTTAGCTTTTTTTCTTGTTGAACATTTATTCATAAGGCATTCGTTTGTTTTTGTTTGGTTTTTGGCTGGAAGGAAGTGAACAATAGATCATGGCCATCAACACAAGCGATTTCAAACCCTATCTAGGGGGACTAGCGTCATTATTATTATTCCCACTGAATTGTTCAGTCAATCTTTCTCTGTTGTTCTTTTTTTGGCTGCTCCTGTTAGGGGTCGCCACAACGGATCATTGGTCTGCATATTTGATTTGGCAAAGTTTTTACGTTAGATGGCCTTCCTGATGCTAAACCCTCCCCAATTTTATCCGGGCTTGGAGCCCCAGTGGCTGGGGTTGGTTCCCTGGCCAGGAATTGAACCTGGGCATCAGCAATGAGAGCACTGAGGCCAAACCACTAGTCCTCCAGAGACCGCAGTCAATCTTTCTCTAATTAATGAAATTCATTAAGTTTGTAATTTCTCTTTCATAAATGAGAGAGCTGACCAAAGTGATGGAGTGGCAGTAAACAATCCGACTCTCCCCAGACTCAACTGCTTGATTTAAACCAGTGTTTAGCACAAACCTTTCCAGAATCTTTGCTCACATCATGAATCCACTCACCAAACACAACATCTCTCTCTCTCTCTCTCTCTCTCTCTCTCTCTCTCTCTCTGCTCCCTTCCGAGGGATGTTCCTATAACAATTGCATTGACTTAGTTTGGATGGTTAAAACCCTTTCAGCTGTGTATTTTTTGTTCATTATTTCTTTATTCATTATTTGATTTTGTTCATTGTTCATTATTAGTTCATTATTTTTGTTCATTCATCATCTTGAATGAACAAAAAATACTGAATTTTCGATGTTGCGCTGTGAGTCTCAGAACCAGAACTGCAGGTGAGGTGGAGTCAGGTGGATCTCTTACAAGTAAGCTAGCCCGGAAACATCTGTATAGGTATTATGTAAAGTTAAAAATACTTATTGACTTTTCTGTTCTAAGACTATAGTGTTGCATCAGGCTCCACTGAGCAAAGGAGAAAGATGATGAGATAGAGCAATGGTGGGAGAAAGTGAAATGAGAGAAGGCAAGATGGAGAGGCCACAAACACAAGAGAAAGGAAAAAATATATCAGATCAGTAAGAGAGGTAGTCAAAACAAAACAGCTGAAGCTATAAGAGAGAGAGCTTGTAAGTAGTCTGATAAGTACCTCTTTGACTGCTTCTCATTGCATATGTACAGCCAGTGCCACTTTGACAAACTACCCTTGTGGTCTTTTTTGGAGGGGAACAGTTATTAATTAATTGATGGTAACCAATCTTATATTCTGTAAACGCACACACACACAGAATACAAATGTACAAATGCCAGTTTTTATAAGCTGTAATAGTATTACTATCTCCTCACTGTTTGCACATCATAGATTTTCAGTGATGGTTGAGTCCCCACAAGGATTAAACTCTAGAATCGCTCTTAGTCAGCCAAATTCCCAGGGGAAAAGTCCAGCTTAGTCTGACAAGCTATCAGCTGCCAAGACACAAACTGAGCTAATCCAACTGGTGGACCATTTTCCCCAGCTAATAAGTGCGGAAAGGAAACCATTTCTGAATCGTGGCTACTAATCCAATGTAGAAATGTTGTTTACAAGAAAACAACAGTAAGGCGATTTGATTTAAAAAACATTTGTTGTTTAGTGTAGACAAGTAACAATGAAATTGGACAAGATAGTCTACCAGTTTGACAATGGCCAGTGTGGTAGCTGGGCAGGCCAAGCTGGTGTTTTTTCAGCAGCATTATCCAGGTTGAGGAATTTATATCGTTAGCCAGTTGTTGAGTTAAAGAACTCATAATAGCCAACTAGTGACTTAACGTAAGGTGTTTGTTTATGTTTACGTATTTTTGCTCTTCAAACTCGGTTATAGCAATTCAAGCATGAATAGGTTGTTAAAGTATTAGGTAAAGCTGAAAGTTATGCTGATAACGACTGCACTTAAATGTCACATCCAAATCCACAGTCGACCCAGGAACCACCACATCTGAATCCGGTCCGGATGTTATATCACTCCCTGTTAATTATTGACTGCTGTTTTTACCTGTTTAGCATTTGGTTCAGTGTATACTGTATATACCAGTTCACTGACCTATATATGTCATGAAGCAGAGGCAGTTTTTTTTTGAGACTCCAAGCCAGCAAATTTGTAGTCAGAAATCAGACAGGAGTCAATCAATCAGATATCTAGAGCAACGAAGTGTGGAACCAAACGTCAAACCAGGAATAACAAATGCAGAAAACCATGAGAGCTTGTATATGAACCCAGTGAGGTGAAATAGGTAAAACTGCAGTCAGTAATTAGGAGGGTGGGAGTGATATAATGTCTGGAATGGCTACTCTATTATGAGCATCATTTTATTTAATAACTTTATCAATTAATCCTGCTTTATAAGCAATGTCATCGGCTTCTTTGCTTTGTTAGCCTAGTGTAGCAAATTCAAACAAAATTTAAACAAAATACCAAACTGAAAAAAAGAATTGATCATGGTTGTCCAAGATGGCTACATTTTTGAATAAAATTGAATTTTTAAATAGATTATAGTAAGTCATACTGTGTCCTAAACCATATCAGCAAGTTGGTTTGATATTAATTAAGAACTGTATGCGGTTTCAGGGATATATTCATGGAAAACGTTTGGGTGAGATAGACTTGCATTACATAGTAGTACTGTTAGCCGTGTAGCACCAGTGAAAATTGAAAAATGTTATGGCTGATCATTTGGGATGAAAGGGAATAACTGACTTTTTCACCAAACAATTTTAAAGATTTACTTCCTGTAATTCCTGGATCGCATACCTGCCACTTCCAGCTGTATGAAACTGTGTGCTACTGTGTGATAGTAATGAAACTCAGGCCAGCAGCGGCAGCAGTTCTTCACTGAATCTGACTGTTTTACAGCAAGCCAAATTGCACCACTGATACCAGATGAGCATCTCAAACCAACAGTGACATGTTTGCTGGTTGAAAATCATGAGGCTCAGCTCTGAGCTCTGACTCGGGCTAAGTGGAAACCCGGCTCTGTGGAAAGTAGCAATGCCATTCAGAGTGCTCATTAGCTAGCCGCCAAGAAGCTAAAATAAACACTCGGGAATCGATGCCAGAAACGAAAAAGCACACAGAGCGACAGAGACAAAAAAGCCAGTTAAGAGGATTTCTGGGTGGGATAGAGTCATTCATTTCTCTCTCTCTCTCTCTCTCTCTCTCTCTGTCTGTCTGTTGTTCGCTCAATCCATCATTCTCTCTGCTATTGAAAAGGGGCCGATTGGCGGCTGGAAAGAGATAGTGTTTAGTGAAGAGACGCTAATTGCACCAACAGGGGGAGGAAAGGACATCAGTCATTGGCGTTTTTTCCCAGTCATCGCTCAAAGTGAAGTGCAGTAGTGTGAACAGCTGGGGGCTCGAATATGAATTAATGGTCATCAGACAAAAAGGGGGGAGTGTTTTGATTTATACCGGGGCTTATGATAGACTCTTCAATAAATCCATTCTCAAATTACGTGTCAGGTTTTATAACAAATGCCGGCGAGTGAAATATCAGTGAAATGGTCATTGAAATGAACCACATAATCCTGGGTGTGTGCAAATGACACAATAACATCACACTGCGAGGGCTTTGTCTTCCTGTCCTCCTGCTGGGAAATACAATAAGCTTAATATGTGGAAGATATACAATATTAAAGAGACTGAAAATAAAAAAAAGTGCAATATTGTGTTTAGACTAGGAAAAAATCAAAATCAGGCCATTTTTAGATTTACAGACAGATGGATGAACAGATGGAGAATACAGATGGAGTCATGAAGGTGATGAAGCCATAGACAGAGAAGATAAGGACAGCGGTTCACATCAGCCTCTCATATCCCTACTATTGCTTATTTTTATTTCTTTTGCAAATCTGCAGGATCAAGCATATTTTATATCCATGTCTCATACCGTATGTCAATCATGACATGCAGAGATGCTCAATCAGATTTGAGCAGCTCCAAGCATTTTTGTGCCTCCATTGATTCCTGTCGCGTGAAATTAAAGCCAGAAGATTTAAATATGTATGCCGACGTACATATATTCCTACTGAATTCTCCTGAAAGTCACTGTGTCATCTGTACATAAAGTTATTCCACTGATTTTGCAGGACGAACCAGCACGCAACAGATTTACCCATATTCTCCGTATGATTTTATCTTTTTCATCACAAACCCTCTGGAACGTCAATCTAACCTTTCTACATATGATTACTTTTCCCCAAACGTTCCCCTAAAGCCTATTTCTGGTGATCACATCCACTGCAAAGAAAATAATGGACACGTTTATACCAAAACTGCATGCACAAAGTAGACATAACTGTGAGTTAAACTTTATAAAAGTCAGCATCACTTTTCTTATTCTCACCACCTGGACCAGAAAACAAGCACTGACCTGTAGCAAGCATTAATACACGCTGACAAATAGAGTATATATGTATATATTTTTTCTAAACTCAGAAGATTAGAAAGCTTTGCTCTGAGATGCTGCACAGAAAATATCTCCAGACTCCACACGGAGTTTATTAGCTAATAAAGACAAACTCACCGAATTAAACCTGGGTTGTTCCAAATCCCATGAGCCGGGTCAAGTTAAGAGGATGCTGGTCTTGAGGATGGTGAACAGCCGTGCCTTCGACAGCGGCATGCACGGGAAAGAACGGAGCAAAGAGTCTTACACAGGACTGCACTGAACTGCATCCCGTATCCAGGTAACCGAACGCTCGTGTGTGTGCGTGTGTGTGTGTGTGTGTGTGGATGTGTGAGAGAGATAGAGAGGAAGAGACTGAGGGGGAGACAGAAAGAAGAGTATGAGAGAGAAGGAGGGAGAGGTTGAAGGATGGAGGGAGGGAGGAAAGTGAGAAAGATTCTATGGACACTGCATTTGAGCTGATTTGAATTTGGCATTTAGTTGAACGTATGTCCTCTGTTTTGGTATTTATAGTTTCATTTCATGTTATAATTATTATCAATAAACTATTCCACTATTTTATTTATTTTTATTATCTTATTATATTTTTTCAGTTTTCTTTTCTTTTATCTACATCTGTTTTTATTCTATATTGCACCTTCACTATGGACTAATAGACACGTAGATGCAAAATATAATTGATATGGTGATGCCAAAAAAAAAAAAACTGAATTGAACTGAGAAATTGAAGAGAGAGAGAGAGAGAGAGAGAGAGAGAGAGAGAGAGATAACAGAACCAATTTGTTATAATTTATGTGATTTCGCATGAATTTGTAAATGCTGATAATGCTAAGGAGTGCTTTGACTGGTGGGCGAAATGCACAATCCGATGCCGACATATTTCATTTGAAGTGCAAAAATACACACAAGACACTAAATATATCTAACTATC